GTGACCACTTACCCGTTCAGTGAATTTAGCATTGATTCTTTCTTTTTTGCAATTAATATTTGAATCATTCCACAAATACCTATTGAGGCCCAAGAATCCACCCAACCCCACATGGAAGTATTGAAAAAATTCAGCCAAAGGGATTTGGAAGGAAGCGACAGACCCAAATTAAAGAAGAAAGGGTGTGTGAGACAGTGAATAATCAGTTGGAAAGAGATTGAAGGGAAAATGCCCCATACATGGGCAGGGGGCCCCATAATTAGTGTCCATGAAAGGATTTGATTTTGAGATTTTGCCAATTACATATTGAGATTCAGGTATGAAGGAAGAGAAAAAGTTTATCATACACCTAAAACAACATTTGATTCTTGACAATCAGAAATCGGACTCTAAAATCAATCTTAAACGAATCCTAAAATATTCGTGCAGTTTACGTGCAAGAAGTTGAATATTGTACCGAACATTGAAACATTGCATGGTTACATGGTAGCAACTTTGTGTTACTATTTGTTGGTCTCGACTATGTTAATTAAGTTTGAAATTTCAAAATGCAGTTCCCCATTGAGTCGTGGAACTTTGAAGTCTATAATCACCAAAAAAATTTATTATAGTCGTCACTTATGAATTAGATGTCAATGACAGGCTGAAATTTTCTGAATATCATTACTTGTGTTTATTAAAGGAGCCCTTTCAAAATGTGTGCTAAAATCACATTTTTTAGTCTAAGTCAGTCTTTAATATATTTTTGAAATAGGAATGATTAGATAGTGCCAAACAAAGTTACGGAAGAAAATAAAGTGAAAATTTTAGTTTTACAGGGTCCAATGTGCGTGTTAATATGTTTTATTAGTGTTATTATTATTTTAGAGATAAGTTGATTTGAGCTCAAAAGCTTACATAGAGATATTTTTACAAGAAAATCTCTCATTTTACACTTCAAAAATCAAATTTTTGTTGAGGATAATTAGTTGTAAAAAAAAGTTGTGAATAGAATATTGTGGTGTAGGGGGTGTCAAAATGAGTAGGTTGGTTCATAATCAATGCTTCTAAATAGGATTCAAAAAGAACTCATTTCAAAATTATATCTCGACCAATGAGTGAACAAGAGTGTGTAAATAGTCCTAGCATGTTCATTTTGAGATGGGTTATTGCAATTTTTTGCATGTTTGGAAGTCAATTTGCTATTTCGCACTTTTGAGGTCTAATGTGCAATTTCAACGAAATATATTTTTCAAGTATAAGAAAAATAATGTTATTTATCATCACTATCATCATCCCACATTAACTAATAAGTCCGATGGAATTCAAGCATACGTGATTCATTTTATTGGACTTATCATTTCTTGCTAACTAAATATGGTGATGATCACCAATGACGTTGAATAACATTACTTTATAAGAAATAGATGATTTGACTCATTTTATGTCCATTGGGTTGTTTCATCGAACCCATAAAATGTAGTCTTGAACTTAGCATGTGGTCAATACAAGGTACACGATATTAATACTACACAATACTCCATACTAAAAATGTAGAAAGTCGACACATTGTCACAAAAAGCACAATTGCCTCAAATGGGTGAAATAGAAGTAAGGTGTTCGTGCAATCTACGTGCAGGTTGATTAAACATTTATAACATTTTTTTTGGATGAAGCAATAGAATGTATGTTTGAAGTTTAAAACAAGATTAAAGTTATTTAGCATCATTAGTGTGTAACAACAATTTAGGTGACATAACTTGTATCAGTAAATTATAGGCCCAAGTAAATACAGCGATATATGACTCATTTATGAAGAACTATCATATTGTCTAAATTGACACTCTAACATCACTGATACAAAATAACATTATTCATAAAATAATGAAACACGTTTATTTGACACCTCTAATGTCCAAGGGGTTCCATCATGACTACCAATGATTTTTATTTGATTTATTCCACAGCATTCAGTGCTCCTTAAGATCTTTTTGTGTGAGTAATGATCATTATTTTAGGTCGTATATATTGCTAGAGCTTCAAAGAATCTAAAGGACCTCATGGAAGGTGTTATAACACTTTTTTTCCATGTAGTATTGTATCAATTTTTTATACGAGAGATTGTGCATTCATAACATGTTTTGTAAGAAGGATTAGATAGCACTCAACATAATTAAGAAGAAAATAAAGGTAAAATATTATTCATATATATCAAACGTGTAGGTTTCTCTTTAATTCTCAAGGTACTCAGATATATGCCAAAAAATGTTAATCCAACAATGCCAAGTACTGAATTTAGTAATATGCCAAAGAATGTATGTTCGCCAATGCGAATGGCCGAGCTTCCTAATCGACTACAAATGTGTTAAAAATCGAATTTCGACAGTAATTTACAAATCACAATATGTTAAAATTAGCGCATTGCCTTAGTTTCTTTTGTGTTGTTATGCTTGGCTAAGTTTTCTACACTAGGATGATGATGAAACTTTATTTTTAGAACTTTAATCTTAATTTCTTGTTTTTGACATTAAGTACTTGTTTAATTTGAATGGTTTCTATATATTTAACACTTTCAAATATTTGATTACTATTTAAATTAATTCATGAATTTTATGTCTGGAGATCGAATAGGGATTGTAGCATATATTAGCAATCATTGGATTCGATACATGATTGAGATATATAGCTATGTTTTTTGTGACCTTCCTGGAATATGTGAAGCTTGGTTTAATTTTACACGAGAGAGAATATAGCGCGCGCGTATATGTATATATGTATACATGATATATACACGTATATATGTATACACATACATATATATACACACATACACATATGTATATGTGTATAAATATACATACGTGGATTTAGAATTCTAGTTCCTTCTTCTCTTTGAGTTTTTATCAAACAAGTGCCAAACACAATTTGTTTGCTTTGTTGGTAATTTTCAAAATATCGATTTAAAACAATAAAAAATCTACCAATTTGTGACCGTACAATTAAAATTAAGTTTAATTGAGTCAAAATTAGATACACAATTCCGTGGGATGGGATCCGTATTTTGTTCATCATTTTATTACTTATCTTCAATGCCATGTAATTGCGATTTTAAGCAAACACACGTCCTGTCATATTTCTAAATTAATTGTGAGATTTAAAGATTGCATAATCTTTAATCTTTCATTAATTGGAGTAACTAGATAACGGTAAGTTTTACACTTGTACAATAGTAGCCTTATTTCACGTAAGTGGACCCGTGAGTTCAAGGGAAAATTTTTTTCTTGTTTTTTTTTTTTGTTTTTTTTTTTTTTTTTTTTTAATTAAGTTTCTATTGATTTTTTGTAAAATTTTCATGCTTTAAGACTATCAAGAGTTTAGATGGCATTTTAAAAATTGATGGAAAATCACTTCTATCCCACCAAATAACTAAACAAACTGAAAATTAGATTTTCTCGCTTAAGTTTATTAACCTAAGTAAAATATTGTAAACATTTTTTTCCCTTGGAAACATGGAGGAAGGGGAAAAAAAAAAGCAAAATCATCTTCATCAATCTTTATCTAGTTTAGCATATCAAATTTATAGCATTAAATATTACACGAGACACACGGATATTCACATTATTTATAATATTTCTCTCAACGAAACGTTGAGGTTATTAAACTTAATCTAAACAAAAATATCTCCTAGTTTAGGGTCCCCTCTCATCATAGTTGTACAAAGTCAGTCACCATCAATTTGGCAACCTAACTTTACCTTTGAATTTATTAATGAAATATTGATATACCAAATAATTGCAGCCCTTTTTCCACTTCTTTATGAAAAACGTTTCACTTTTGAAATTGCTTATAATTATAAGTAGTAATCAAGGTTTTGATTAGAGGAAAACTTGATCCAACCCAAGGCACAACGCGAAGGTATGAAAACTCTGAAACTCGACCAAACCGTGTCAATATATTCTCTTGGTGTACATAAGCGTGTGACTAAATTAAGCATTACACCGCTACCTCCCATCAAATCTTTCATTTTTCTTCTTCGCTCAGCAGTCTAAATTTGCCACGCTCGACTATTTTGTAGAGATAAGTAGGATTACTAAATGTACAATTGACATGAGAAGGAGAATTTTCAAGGTCAACATTTAACAATTCAAGCAGCATTAGTCTTGGTGTAAATTTTCATGATTTATAGTGAAGTGAAATGTGAACAATAAATTTTTCATCCCGAAAAATATTTTGATACTAACTAGCAAAGAAGGGAAAATGGATGGAGAGAATTTACCTGTCCCTTTTGAACTGAGACTTGAAGTTGAAAGATTTATATAGAAAAGGGTGATTTCAACCCGATTACACGAATCCACTTTCTCCATTTCATTTGGGGAAAAAAAAATTAAATTATAACATATTATTGTGTTCCGGTACATGAAATGTGCAATTCGATTGAACGGGTTGGTTTCATTTGAAGTGGATACAAGTTTACATCCTATTAATGTCAACCAATTCGATTGAACGGGTTGCTTTCATTTGAAGTGGATACAAGTTTACATCCCATTAATGTCAACCTAAATGACGTAGGATCACAAATTGCAATAATCTATACCTTGACTCAGACACGCTCTCCACTCAACTTTTGAGTACCAAGGCGAATGTGGTCCTCGTGTAAAATTTATTAGGCACTGATTCGTATTCAATTGACGTTTTTTTACTCGCAATCAATTTTTGGGTACCAATCGTGTAGAATTTACGGTGGTACTACAACATTTTCGAGCAACCTTTTTGACTTTCTATCGTAGTAATTAGAACCAAATGTTTGAAGTATCTATGAATAATCTATCAAACATGTCAAAAATTGGACGTGACTTTCCGGAAGTTATTTAACGGGCCGCAATAGGTGGTTGAGTGACTCCTCTCATTTAACACCCTTCAATAGATAACATATAAATTGTGGCCGAGTTAAACAATTCAATTAGCAAACAATCACTCCAAATTAACTAAATTAAAGCACCGATAAGAGAAATTTCCATGTATTAATTCGTGAATATTTGTAATTTCATTAATTTCTCCAATTCTCCATATTCAGAATAATCTTCCTAATTAGAAATCACACTTCAAAACAAAAAAAAAAAACACCCTATTAATGCCAACTACCCCAAAACTTCTTTACATTTTCATGCCGACCCCTAGAGTTTCGAAAAATAACTAAAATTTACCACTACCCCTTTCCATCATGTCCTCCGCCGCCCGTCAGAGTACTGAGAGAGCGGTACCACCTCCTGCAGCGGCGTTGACAGCGGCGTAGGTAGCGGCGAATTCCGGCAAACGGGGCACGATGAATTAAGCTTCAACCACGCATCAACACATGTCACATGAAAATAATGCTTACAATCGGGCAACATCCTTAGCATCTCCGATTCCTTGTACTCGCACAAGCATATGGCGCACAAGGTATCGCCATCGGTAATTCTGTTTTTCTTGGAGAAGACAAGCTTCGGATACGAATTAATGACAGCTTGATCGAGCCCAACGACGTTTTGGGAAGAATTCTCGTCGTCATCCTCGGCCACGAAAATTATTCGAGGGAGGTAGACACTGTTTTCGTTAGGGTTTTCAGGATTGGTAGTTCTTTGCAGGTTACGGCGGCGACGGGAGGTGACGGAGCGGCAGCAGATGTAGGAGGCGAGGAGAATGGTGGAGAAGAGGACGAGGAAGCCAAGGGCTATGGCAATGGCGTAGCCGAAGCCGATTGAACTGAGGTTTTGTGAAAATAGGTTTTTGGTGGTGGTGGACCTGGTGGTGGTGTTTAAGGGCGGTGGAGGTGGTGGTGGGCGGAGGAGGGAGGAGATGGTGGTTGACATTGGGAGAGAAGGGGAATAAATGGGGTGGTGAAAATGGCCATTTGATTAAGAGAAAATCGTGGATGGATAGGAGTGGGGCGTGTTGGGTGGGGTGCTGAGCTGCTACATTAAATACTAAGGTTTGGAAAGCAGAGCAAATCATTAATGTCTCAACGTGGGGATGATAGTGACGAAGATTCAAACTAGTAATTTTTGGGATTTGGGCTTATTTTTTGTGATTAATATTTTTTTGGTAGGTTTAGAATTAATTCATTTGATAATAAAAAGTTGCAAAGAGATCTATATTATATGAAATTTGTGCAAACAAGTCGAGATGGAGTTAGAATTATAAATATCCGGTCGTGCAATCAAGTCCTTAAATTTTTACTTTGACTATATCTTAATTTTTTCGTTAGATATTTCCATCTAAGTTCAGGATGAAAGTCAAATTTTGATCGAAAAAAATGAGTTATAATTATAATTTCAAAAATGATGTTCTATGTTGTAAATTTTTACGGTCCTCTCACAAATGTGGGGTCCGCGATTATTTTAATCACAGACCCCACCCTCTATATGTGAGAGTGCTGTCAATAAAGCTGTATAGTGTGCTGTACATATAACATTTTTCTTATAATTTTGGTCTATGATCCTAATTTCTTAACCTAATATTCTAGACAGTTACGCTCGGAGCCTATCTTTTGAGTAATGTTTTTTCCCCATTATTTTGACCATTGAACAAGCACATACACTTAAATTGATAGGCTGAAAATAATATTCATATCTCATCGTATGTTATTCTGTCCCATGAATTTTGAAAATCGTCGTCAAATATTTCGGCTTAGGTCTAGAATTATCCTTTGTTCTTTCAACTAGCCAATGGACTAATAAGAATTCAGAAATACTAGCATCCATTTCACAAGCTAATATATTGATTCGAAAGAAATAATATTATTTCTAATTAACTTTTTTTGAACATAGAGAAATTCCAAACAATATAAAAACATGCCCAAAAAAAAATAAAAAATAAAAAATGAATAGAGGGCTCAAGTCTCGAAAGGTAATAGAGCTCCAATTTTCTGGCAGAAATAGACAGATTTGTTGTTATTCTTTTTTTGTAGTAAAAACGATTTTGTTTGTTTTTGATTTGTCATAGTCAAACACAGATTTTAAAACAAAAATCCTTTTTGCACTTTTTCTATTATTCCCACCTTTACTTCGAGTCTTCGAACATTACGAATGGGCCATTGGGGGCCTCACCTCCATGCATTGACTACTTTATATTCAAATTTCAATACTTTGTTAATTTCTTTGTTTAATTAATACAATAGATAATTAGACTGAAATATTTAAAAGATCAAAGAATTTCTTTTTGTCTTATTGTTATCGTCCCCGACTTTTCAGTAAATGGTTTCCATCATCTTCAACAACGATTTTCGTTTAAAATCTGTATCTATAGTGCAAGAAAATGGACGTATAAAATAAAACATTAAAACGTCACAACACAACAAGATACTTGAAAATAATATTTTTGAAAAAGTAAAGTACGAAATGTTCTGAAAATATTGTAGATGTAATCGAGAATTAGTTAACTCTTAGTTTAAGCTTACAAAAAGTCCAGGATAGTGTGCGACTCTTAATTGAAGTTTTCAAATATTTTGGTCAAAATTTTTGACAAAGTTTCCTCATGATGCAGTTAAGAGTACGACGTGGCACAGATAGTACTGAGCCCCCTCTTGATTTTCATAGGTTGTCAATGGTGGATCGAACACCACGCAACGTGCATTACTCTTCTAGTTACTAGATCTTACCTCTGATTGAATCGTTTTCAAGATGGGTATACTGTTAAGCAAAAAAGATAACTCTTCTCAATAGACAGATTATTAAATAGAAAAATAACTCTTCTCAGGCTTCTGTCCACATGCCCATTAACAATAAAAATAGAAACTTCATTTATCCATCCACCACCTACGTGCAAGTCAATTCATTTGAACACATCGAAAAATAAGAAGCTTAGTAAATCAACTTATTTTGTAATCCTACAAAGTACTTATAAGTGATTCCATTCAAACAAGTCCAAGAGTAGGAAGCTTCATCTCACCCTTGTAGGAGACAGGGATAGTTATGTTGCCAATTACAGGAAGATCAACAATTAAGCCCAAATCTAAAATATAGTCAACATCCCAATCTTCACCTATATCTTGGGCCAAGCCCAATAACCCATTAAATGGAACCTTTATTGTCACATCCAACATTGTATAGTCATTGGGCTTCAGGAACCCTGGATCTGGAGCTTTACCTGATGCAATCTCCCTGGTTCAAACCAATTTGATTAAACAAATAAATTATAATCCATTATAGATTATCCAAGGAAAAAAGTTAAAACTTTGTTTATAGAACGCACAAGTACGTTTGAGCACTTGCTTATTTTAAAAAAAAAAAAAAAAAATCTTGTACATAATAGAGAGTATTTTGTAGAATTTGTTTACACTAATAATATAAGAGGTTTAGGAAATTAACAAGAAAATAGTACAAACTAACCTGCCAGAACTTTTGAGGGAAAAAGTTATATCACATATGGGAACGGAGACTGGGTATGGGTTGTGAACAGAAACCTTTGCCAGCATGGTAATACCGTCTCGGCCGACATCCTTAATTTCCACGGTCGTGATGGTTGCCTCCGGCTGCTGCTTCATGATAGCCGCCTTATTTGCCGCGAAACTCTTCGTTTTCTTTGTGAAAGGCATTGTCTTTAGACTACGGCCAAGTTTAGACAAAAACTGTTTGCTTGAACTCATGATGTTTGTATGTGTAATTTATGGAGAGTGAATTTTAGTGGGCTATATAGCTTAGTGGCTCTTCATTTGAACAACCCCTTGGCATATGGAATCTGCAAGTTGTCCTTGTTCTAGGATTTGTGCCTATTGTCAGCTTCAAGATTTGGTCTTTTGGTATCTAGCATATTTTTCCTTTTCGTTTGGGGAGAAAATGTCTTTTCTTGAAAAGACAATTGCATTTTCCATTAAAATACAAAATTGTTGCTCAATAGTTAGAATCTATCGTAGCGGAGGATGCTTTAAAGAGATCATTGTGCTGGTAAAGATTGCTACCAATGATTGGAGGAAATAAATTGCTTTATTTCCCATACTTCGGATAGGCGAAAATGGGCTCAGCGTCTACATGAGAGAAGCAAGGAGGTCAATCTCTGTCAAATATACAACGTGCATTATGGCAATGCAAGGTAATTGGACTTTCATGTCAACTCAAATAAATCATCACTTCTGCTGAGATCAATCTTTGCTTGCTAAGCAAGAGGAGCAATTTCTTTTAGGGATGCTTGTCCAGAATTCTACTAGCCTAGATAATAACTTGAAACTATCAAAGTGGAGGAGATTGATTGAATGAGTAGTTAGATTGTGGAGGCTCTGATTCTTCTAACACTCTGGAAAAATTGACTTGGTGTACATCTTATACTTGATCACATTTACTACTAATAAGCAAAATTATCAATCATATAGAGATTCGTAAAATTAAACCAAAAGGACAAAAGATCCTTCATTACTTATAATAAGACTCTTCGAAGGTTCAATATAGTACAACAAAGATCCAAAAACATATTTAAGCATAAAAGTATGCATCAAATTTCATAAAACCAACACAAGAAATCCATAACAATGTACTAATAAGCTAGAATCCAGAGAATAGGTAATTTCGTCTGACCCTGAGTTTACACGTCTTTTGATCTAAACATATCGGCGAAAGTCGGGAGTTTCATCTCACCCTTCTGAGAAAGAGGGATTGTAATGTTCCCAATGACAGGCAGATCAATAATGAGAGCCAAGTCCAGTTGATAATCAATATCCCAATCTGCACCAATGTCCCTTATTAGGCTAACCAACACACTATGTGGCACCTTTATTCCCACATCTAGCATGGTATTGTCATTCCCCTTCAACGATCCCGGGTCCGGAATAGTGCCCGAAGCAATCACCCTATTCACGTCAATTATCCAACAAGATTAGTAACTATCTATTTGGTATACAATATTAAACAAGACTTAAAAACATTCACATAGCATGAGTAATTATAGCTTAAAAGCCAAATTATTCTAGCTTTCTCGAGTAGTATACACTCTCCGTATTGCACGAAAAAGCAAAAAACTTGTGCACACTACCCAAAAAGTCGAAAATTTTAGGCTTTTAATCAAGATCAAATATGCAAGATACTACATTTTCGCACAAAGGGTTTCTTCTCGAAGTCAAAAGATTTCTATCTTTATACCAATAGCCCAAGGCATGACGAGACAATAGCTATTTCCACTTTTTGATTATTTGATCCATCACTATGTTCTATTAAAAAATCTTACAAAATCAAATCATTTTAGACAACTATATCACATCCCGATTGGAATGGCTTAAAATTTTAATATAAATCTAAATCAAAATCAATAATTAATTTAAATAATATATAAAACCACCACATTTATTAACTTTCCAACCATACATTTTATCAATTTTTATCAAAATCTACTAAAAATTTTAATTATACCAAACACGGGCAAAGATTATAAGACGTTTTTCTTTATTCTTAAAAATGTAGATATGTATCTATTAAATTTTATGTCGAAAAGTACATGCTTAATGATCTGATCGCATACGATACATATATAGTGTGTGTATACATAAAAGAAAAACAGATGAAATTTATGAACAGATTAAGGATCAAAAGGAAATGAATCGAAACCTGTCGACACTTTTGAGAGAATAATTAATTTCTCCGATTGGAATAGGAACGCTGTATGGATTGCTAACAGAAACCTTAACCAAATAGGTTATGCCGCTCATGCCGATATCCTTAAGGTCTACATCCGTTATGGATGCTTCGGGTTTTTCCATGTTAGCAACCTTTTCAGCTACGAAATTCTTCGCTTTGTCCACCAAATCCATTTCTGTTTCAGAAAGTACCTTGTTTTCGTTCAGAGAAGACGATGAATTTGAGGGTGTATCTATACGGGTCGGGTATGGCGATGATTTTATTGGTACACGCGATTGGGTTAAATGGACTGTGGTGGAATTTTCCGTGTTTAGAGATCTGCGCAAAAAGCGTCGGATTGTCAACGCAGAGAACGATGGGTGCAATGCGTGTATCAAAAGTGCGGTGGCGTGGCGTGGGGGAAATCGAAAAATCAATCAAATTAAACCCTTGTTTAACTTGTTTGCTTGGTAGTGATTAAAATTTAAAATTTAAAATAATATATATATTTATATATTTCATAGTTCATACAATTTTTCAACTATATATTTCATCAATTTTTATCAAAATATATTAAAAATCTAATTTTAATTCACATCAAACTGAGGCTAAATTAAGTGGGGGTTGGTTTGAGTCGGTTTGGTTTGAATATTTTTAACCATTAAAAAGTTGCGATGGGTTGTTTGCTTTCAACCCTAGAGATTTTTGTAATATTACTGTATTTGGTCAAAACTCATATCCGTTGTATAAGCGTTGTGATACTAATATTTCTGTTCGAGCTACGGGCCAAATGTTAGACAATCGATGGATTGTACCATATAATCCTTATTTAAGTACGAAATTTGACTGTCACATCAATGTTGAAGTATGTTCTTTATCAAAACTGTAAAATATTTGTAGAAATATATTTACAAAGGATATGATCGTATTAATTTTTCAGTTCTTAAAAATGAAACAAAGAATGATATAGATGAAATTTTTGTTTATCAATTTGCTAGATGGATATCTCCACCTGAAACTATGTGGAGGATTTTTTCTTTTAATATGTCAGAATTTGTCCTACGGTTTACTCTTTATAGTTTTATATCGAAAATCATCAGCAAGTAACATATGACAATGACGATGATTTATCTACTGTTGTTGAAAATGAAAATAAAAAAAGAACTAGTTTTTTCGCATGAATAAAGAAAATGAGTTTGCACGTACACTTTTCTATAGAGATTTTTCAACATATTTTGTTTGAAACACGAATAAGAAAATTTGGACTCGCAGAAAGAAACAAATTGTTATTGGACGAGTTGTCATGGTAAATCCATCTGAAGGAGAATGATATTTTCTTCGTATTCTTTTGAATCATATTCGAGGTTCCACATCATTTCAAGATTTACGAACTTTAAATGGAGTTACTGTTGTTACATATTGAGAAGTAGTGCTTCTACATGGTTTATTGAATAGAGATAATAATTGTGAAAAATGTTTATCTGAAGCTGTTATTTATGAAATGCCTACTTCTTTAAGACGTCTATTTGCTACACTTTTTAGCCTCTGCAACCCTAATGATCCAAAATTATTGTGGAACACATTCAAATCTTATATGATTGATGATTACATACATGAAAATATTTCTTCACATGATGCTGAACTTCGGGCTTTAAACGATATTAGTTGTATCTTAGAATCTTTAGGTGAAAATATAAATGATTATGAAATAGTATCATTCAACGTAGATATGAACGAAAATGATAAATTAAGGAGAATGGTTGAAGATGAGACAATAAATCTGAATATTGAAAAAAGTTATGTTTGTGCAGCAAGTTTAAACAACAAACAACAAATTGCATATGATATGATTATGGAAAAAATAATATCGAGATCAAGTGGTGCTTTCTTCATCAATGATCCAGGTGGCACAAGTAAAGCATTTTTATATAAAGCATTGCTAAGTGCTGTAAGGTCTCAAAATGCAATTGCTTTGGCAGCTGCGTCTTCTGGAGTAGCTGTATCCCTTCTACCCCGAGGTAGAACTGCTCATTCGAGGTATAAAATTTTTTTGGAAACAATAGGTGAAATAAATTGCTCTGTTAGTAAATAATCTGCTTTAGAAATTTTGTTGAAAATGTGCGAGTTAATAATTTGGGATAAAACTCCTATGGTAAACCGGTGTGCTGTCGAGGCTATGGATAAAATGTTGAAAGATATTAACGATTGTAATTTACCTTTCGATGTAAAGTTATGGTTCTGGGGGGAATTTTCGGCAAGTTTTACCAGTAGTACCAAAAGGGAAAAAAGAAGATATAATTAAAACTAGCTTAATCTTTTTTGATCTATGGCCTCTATTATTACATGTATCATTAGTTGAAAATATGAGGGCAAAATTTGATCATATTTTTTGTGATTACTTGTTAAAAATTGGAAACGGAACAGAGCAACAACATTCTTATAATTGCATTCAACTTCCAAGCAACATAATTGTACAATTTGAGGATGGAATAAAATCTTTAAAAACTTTAATACATTATGTTTTTCCAAATATAGAATCATATGCTGACAATTTACATACGATGGCAAATCGAGTCATTCTTACGCCTAAAAATGAATGTGTTGATCATTTTAATAAGATTTTATTAGAACAAATTCTAGGTAAAATTTTTACATATTATAGCTTTGATGAAATAATTGATAAATCAGAACAAAGCTTGCAAGAAGATTTCCTTAATAGTTTGACCTCAAATGGTATTCCACCGCATGAGTTAAAACTTAAAGTGAATTGTCCAGTTTATGTTGCTACGAAATATCAATCCTTCTGTAGGATTATGCAACGGAACACGACTTACTTGTCGAAAATTTAAGAAAAATGTCATTCTAGCGGAAATTATATCAGGCAAATATTATGGAAAATTTGTTTTTTTACCAAGAATTCCTTTTATACCACTTGAAAGTGATCAGAGTTCATTCCATTCAAAAGAACTCAATTTTCAATTACGCCATGCTTTGCGATGACAATAAATAAAGCACAAGAACAAACACTTGATTTTGTTAGTTTATATCTTCCAAAGCCAGTTTTTTGTCATGGTCAACTTTATATAGCATTATCAAGAGCAAAAATAAGTAAATCTCTAAAAGTTTTAATTAACCCATCAACTGATGAAACTTTGCACAGTAGATGCACTAAAAATGTAGTGTATAACGAAATTCTTTCGTTTATACATCCGTAGAAGATATCATCGAAGCAATACAGGTTTGTTATATTTGTAATAATATTATAAACTTAGTTTTAAATAATTTTGCTGTTAGCTGATAAGTTCTATTTATTTTTTTAGTTGCAACTTTTGTTTAGGTGTGAAAATGATCCAAAAAATTTTAATCTATCGAGCAACTCAGGTATGTCAATTTTATAGTTTTTTCCTTCTAGGTTTATAATTTTTGCAGTTTAGATTTGTTTATTTTTTAAATTGCTCTTTCTGGTAGATTGTTACCGTGATTTCTTATAGTTTGATCTTCAAATCTGCTGTATAACTATGATATGTCAATTTTATAGTTGTTTTAGTTTAAGTTTTTAAATAATTTCCTGAGTTGTCGATTCGGCATCATTTCAGTTTCATATCCTGTATTTTGAACTGATTTTTTCCCTTTATTTATGTGTGTACAATTTTCTATTCTTAGTTGGTGGAATCAAGAGTCATCTAGTACTTTATACTTCAGTTGTGAAATTCTTCAAAAAGCAAAAAAATCAAACATAGATAAAACATTTGTGACTTGAGATATGTTCATTTCATATTTTAATTACTGTAAATTGCTTTGTTATGTTGGTTCAACTTTCGTTTCTCTTTGTTCATATTAAGTTTGTTTTTGTCTTAGAAAATAATTTCTTAAATTGATTAATCGTTGATTGGTTGAACTTTAAATGTTGTGTTTTTAAGTTATTTCCGTCTCCCTGTTTTAGTGTGCAGAATTTCTGATTTTTAGTTTGAAAGTTTCATGCTTAAAGTATTTCTGCTATATACTTTTATAAAATTCTTTGTTACAATAGTGATTTTTTTATTTAGAAAATAATTATTAAGGATTTATGACTGTAGTTTGATATGGTTTAATTTCAATTTTATGAATTACATAAGTTTCGAATTTGATCAGTTACATAGAGTAATACTTCGTTCATATATTTATTGTCATTAAATTTAATGAATGCAAAATATAGTACTTCAATTTCCTACTTGTGAGTACGAAATCGCTGTTAAATAATAAATATTGGTTGTTGTTCATATTAACTTACGTTGGTTGTTTGTTTAGTAAAAATGAAAGCTGGAAAAAAATTTTCAATCTATAATTTTTTTTGATGATTAGGTACTGAACTCTCTGAAAAGATTTTCCTCACCAGTTGTATCGTGTTACCAACTGCTGCAAATTTGACTTTGTGGCGTTAAAAAAGATGACGAGTAAAGAAATCTATATTTCTTTTCTGAAAAATAAATAGTTGTACAACATATTGATCCAGGTAATCTACTGCAAATGCGGGCAACTTAATGTTGAGTCTTTAGTTAAGCTTCAACAAAGTATTTGGTTTGTTAAGATTCTTCAGTTCAAAGGTTGCTTTAAATTTTTTTTTATTGTTTCAAATAGTCGTAACTTGTACAACGGCTGTCGCTTATATATATTAAACTTGCAAATTATTGGTTCTTATGTCGAATTTCTTTATCGCAAAGGAAATTTTTATTTTCGTTTCTGGTTTTAATTATAAAACTATTTTCTATCGTTCTTAGTTCTTATAATTTTGTAAGTAGATAACGTTTGTTCAACTATTACTCTATAAATAATAAATAATATTTATTTCTATATAATTTTTTTCTATTACTTATTACTTTAACTAAATATTAGTAATTGAATCAAATATTAAAAAATAAACTTTTTATGTCAAATCATTATAACAATTTAATTTTTACACATTCACTTATACAAAATTTAAATTGTACTTTTCAACTAATAGAAATATATTTAATTACAATTTACAAATATTAATATTTAAAACTTTTATATTAATAAATAAAGTGTAGAATATGAATAAACAAAACCAAAATAACTATCATTCCTTCGTTTGTAAAAAAAATTTATTTAATTACAATTTATAAATATTGGTATTTAAAATTTTTATATTATAAATATAAAATATAAATAAACAAGAACAAAACACAAGTTACATTATATTATTTACTTAATATAATATTTACTTTAAGAAACTATATTGAATATTTAATAGCAAAGAAAATCTTTTATGTGTTGTTATATTTAATTGGTAGTGTATGAAGTGAAATTGGACTCTCATATACCGTATTTGTGTTTTAGACATCGAATTCATGCTTACCGTATTTGACAATTGCTTACCGTATTTGGCAGCTCAATTCACCGTATATGACAGCTTACCGT